TCTATTAAAGATACATGGAATATATTTTTATGGGATATATTCTAATATATAATAAAGACAAAAACTATGTATTTATTACTATTGTAATAAATACAATCTCTTATCCCTGAAATGATATTTATGTACCAGTTTCACATATATTTATACAATTGTATGCATCATAATTAAAGTTAATCAAAAAATGTAAGATAAATGCAAAAGGAAAAAGGATGCATAAAGGTTTATTTTGCCACAAACCGACATCAATGCGCAAAATTTGCCTAACTTTTAGATTAGCATTTAATAGGTGAGGCTATTATTCTTTAGTTTTTTATTATAATCATAAGAATGAACTTTCTTTTTACGGCTATGCTTTATTGGCCCAAAATTTTCTTAGTTCCATTTGTATAGCGTTACATACAAACGTCTTTAAGTGTAAACATCTTTAGCATATATTGAGTTTGCATATATTATATAGAGATAATCGCGTATAATATATCTATAAAATAAGAAAACTTTAAAATTTTGTTTTAACTTATGGAAATCTTTTTTGTTATAGTAATTTTTTTGCTATAAATATGTATAACAAGATTTTAAAAAATTACAAAACTTATTATGCTGAGGGGAGGTTAGGTAAAGACTCGTATTTAACAGGTCCAGAAAGCTAGGATATATAAAGAAAAAGTATAGAAAAGTTCGGTTTGGAGTAGACTTCAAAGACCCATATTTTTACGGGTCCGATCTCAGCTGGTATAGATTATTGCAATAATGATTAGTTAAAAAAACATTCTGTGGCAGAAGTGAGATTTTTTTCAAGCTCAACTGCCTCCTCCAAGCAATCAGAGAGAAAATCATCAACAAACAACTCACTTTAGATGTGAAAACTTCAGGGAGACCGTTAATGTAAATTTAAAAAACTATAGGGCCAAGGATAGAACCTTGAGGAGCCCCTGAAATTACAGGAAATGGAGAAGAGTGCTGTCCATCAAGGAAAATTTTTATACTATGATTGATAAGGAAGAGTTCAATAATCTTAAACATGTTACCTGACTGTAAGAAGATATCTTGAGTGTTTGTTAACTTAAGACTCAAAAACCTTGCTTATAATAGTTAGAAGACTAATCAGGTTTGGCAAAAAAAGTTATATATATATATATATACATAAATATATATATATATATATATATATATATATATATATATATATATATATATATGTATATATATATATATATATATATATATATATATATATATATATATATATATATATATATATATATATATATATATATATATATATATATATATATATATATATATATATATATATATATATATATATATATATAGCATCCTAGTAGCGACTTTCGGGGACATGTTTTTTTGTTTCCATTCTGTTGTTTTTTTTTCACTTTTTTATACTATTTTTATATATTTTTTTTAACTTTTATTTTATTTCTATTTTTATTTATACTTATTTAAATTTATTATTTTATTATAAAAATATTTTTTTTATATTAATTTTTGTTATTTTATATTATATTTCATTTTTAACTTTATCTATTTACAAAAACGATTAATTACAATAATATAACCAAATTTAAACCTTGTCATAACCCTAACCCTAAGCCTGACATTGATGCCTGGCCTAATCAAACCCTCAGTCGGTGTAGCAGCACTCCCTTGCGAGTCAGGCTGTTTGATAGTCGATGTATGTACTTTTCGTTTTCTATAAAAGTTTCTTATGAGTACATTTTTTTACAAAAAAAAATAATGCTTACGGTAACAAAAAATGAACGGGTACACTAAAATGTCCCAGATAATGCTAATGTCCCCATAAGTGTTTGTTTTTTGTAAAATTTGTCCCCCTTAATGATAAAATATACAAATATATATATGTATAAAAAGGTTTATAAAATATATGTTATTGCTGTTTACCAAACAAATTTTTGGCCTCTCATGTGTCTTTATATCCAAATACTCTTTTATATTCTATAAGCTCTATCATTTCCTAACCTAATCCTTAGTTATAATCGTAATGGTAAAGATTTTTGATGATTTTGTATAATAGATATGAAGCCTTTGCCTCATATTATTACACAATTAGATTACTACAAATGTTACATAATAGATTACTCCAAATGTTACACAGTAACTTTCATTAAATATAAAACTTTGTATTGTTTTCCCAAATATAAATAATTAACATATACAAATACAATTTATATTATTTTTTGAACAGTCTAATAATTAATAGTCTGTTATTGCTCCTTATGGTTCACTAATTCTTCTGACTGACCATCGATCTTAACCTTGACCACGACTTTCTCTCTACTTAATCTATAACTCTTATTTATATCCGAACTAGATTCCAACTACCTTTTGTCCTGTCTTCTTCCCATTTTTATATCTTAAGCAGACACTAGGCGCGTCTACGGTTAATAAACAGGTTGGTTGATAAACAATATTAATGCCAAACTTTACACGCTTCGTTAAGCTAGTGTTCCGCTTGAGTAGTTTTTTTTTTGAGATGTAACAATATCTATTATACCTCACCATCTTTCACTTGAAATTGTAGAAATAAAGTTATCGTTAAACATGTGCTGTGCAAAAGTAATTCTGACTGTTAGCCTAAAATCATAGTATCCAGCCGGGTATTCCTAATGCCTATCACTTAGCCAAGTTTCTGCAGCTACTTCTTGTTCAATGCTTAAAGATTTTTCTAAAATTAAATCATTTCTGACACTGCTCCAAACATCTTGTACCAATGTAATAGTAATCCTATTGTTTGCAAATTCACTTTTCATAGATACAATTACTTCATCGTTTACTTTATCCAGTAACTCTGTTGAAAGTTTCTACCGGTTTAGAGGATCAAACCAGGTCTTGAAAAATTAATCAATTTTTAAATTATTTTCCTACAGCATTAAATGGAATATTGAATGCAAAAAAATATTTTTGGAACTTGCAAGTTAAAAATGTCTTTTTGATCTGAGTTTGTTTTTGATATGTAGTATTCTGTTAACTTTCGTTTTTTTATATTGATGTTGAATCAGAGTAACTACTCCCTAAGACGCCAGAAATGCTTCAAATGATTCTGAAATGACCGGGCTTACAAAATCACACAATAAGTTTACGGATACCTGGGATGATCCTTGGACATCTTTTAAAATAAAACTTTTATTTCTTTCTGCAACATCAGCAGATGGTGTTTTTTTTTTACATTTATTTCAATGAATTCTAAATCTAATTCTTTCTATTCTTTTCTTTTTTTTGGCTATTTAAAATTTCATTGTAATAATTGCACTGGCACTGTCATACTACTTTTCCAGAAACAGTTATTGAAAACTTAGTCACATCATTCCATTCATCTGCTAGCTTTCTTCCAGATCCAGAGTCATAATTTATATTCTTATTAAATTTTTTTTTTAAATAAATTCTATTATGATTAAACTATTAAATTTTTATTTGTTAACTATTTTGTTATATTTGATAAGAACAGAAGAAAAGTTACTCCAAAAACCAGAAATATTAGTGAACGATAGTATTAGAGAGCTTGGTGATAATGATAGTTTTTTGCGTTTTATAGTTTTTGGTATTTGAGTCAAGTTTAGATTTTTTAAAGAACTTGACTCAAAGCACAGATAGTACTCAGTATACTATTTAATAGTCCAAGTAATTGCCTCATTACTATTAATAAACCCAAAGACATAACAAAGAGCTCTAAATGTGGTCTTGTTAATGTTCACTAAATTTATGAACAGGGATACCATCCATGCACAACATGACACTGTTAGTACTCTGATATTTTACAGCTATTGATGAAATCAGCCTCTCTGAGATCTACCACAGAGTTCAGGAAACCTGACTACCAGACAGCCTCATAACCATAAAACTGAGTTTTAGAGCTGTATTGCCATTTGGTGATAATAGGATGAGTTGCCTATTCATAAAACCAGAGACACAAGCAAAACCCATGCAATAAGTCAAGAAGTTTCAGTATCCAACATCCTAAACTGGAATCTTAAAATACACAAACTTACTTTACAATATCCTAGCTATTATTTTCTCCTTTCCTCTTTAAAAAAATAAAATTTGCTATTAGGTCCCTAAAGTTTGTGTTCTTTCTAAAACGGTACATAGGGCTTAAAGCAATACAATTTAGGCTTGAGTTTTTTTACAATTAAAATTTTTACAATTTAAGGTTTTTATGAAGATTTTTTTCATGATTGAAATTTTTTTAGAAAAATCACTTCCTCCTTAAACATAGTTGATACAAAAAAAAAGAATAAAATCTTTTTTAAACTCCTAATTTTCTTATTAAATTTAAACATTTAATTCAAGCTATATGGTATTCTTTAAAATTTGTAAATTTTAAATCTTTTGATTTATTACTAAATAATTATTAAAAATAATTGATAATAATCAATATATTATTTGTTAATAATTTATTTATAAGAGATTTTCTTTGAATACTGTGTGCATTACGCATTTACAGTAATAAAAGAAATGCTTTTCATGCTTGCAAACTTGTTGGTTATGTCTTAACTTAGTTTCCTTTGTAAATTAGGACAAAAGCTCATTAAATATTTGTTGACTTATTTGAAAATACAAAGAAATGTAAGAAACCATCTTTTTTTCTTCTTTTTTTTCTTTAATTTTACAACAGTTGTCTGTTATCTGCTTGAATCAGTAATGAATTAATTTATAATGTACATAAACAAACTTAAAAAAAAAAAAATCATACTTAGATTTAAATAATAATAGTAAATAACCATTTCACAACAAATGTTAATTTATGCATACAGCTGATACCACTACCTTACATTATCTAGGACTTTATCCTACATAATATAAGTTTTATGTTTATTTTTTTTTTCTTCTTGTTGTTAAAGTTTTTTTTGCAGTAGATTTATCTAGAAAATTTTAATTAAAAATTATTTTATTGAATTAAAAACATTATTGCAAATTTTTTTGTGCAACAAGTAACAGGTAAATTAAAGCAATTTATTTTTTAGATTCAACTGAGGCATCTAGACTTAAAACAAAAAAAAGAAAGGAACGGAGAATGCGGCAAAAAGAAAGAGAAGAGAAAATGAGGTTGTTAAATGGTGAGAAAAAGAAAACAAATGACCTACAAAGCAACCCTCAGAATTAAAGTTGGCATTCGGCAATGCCGACCTTGTTGTATGTTTTATGGTAACCCCTTTGTGTCAAATTTTTTTTTGCTGACTTAATGCTGACCTCTAACAGTTTGAGGTTAGCAATTTATTGCCAACCTCAAACTGTTAGAGGTCAGCATTAGGTCAGCTTAATTCTTAATTCTGAGGGTTGCCTACAAAGTGATGACACATGTTATTACCATTCTAAATATAATATTAACTAAATAATGCAAATGCTTTTTAAAAATCTTTTATAAATAATTTTTAAGATAATTTTTGCTTATAACTTAGTTAGAACTTTCCCTTTTAATGTGACCATATTAGGTTGTCTATCTCAATATTTGATGTTTACAGCATTTGTTATCTTTCAATAATGCCAGAACATAAAATATAAACTTTCAGCACAAATACTCAAATAGAAGCATTTTCGAAATCAGTTTTCTTCATTCTTTTTCTTCTACTCTTGAATTTGTAAGGTTTGATAATCATATTATTAAATACACCTGATACAAAATTTGACTAGAGATAATTTATAATTCTCAAATTAAAATAAAGAAAAAACATACCATGAAGTATTTTTTTGCCTTGCGACACCATGTTGAAATATCTATATACAGAAATCTTTCCTAAAGAAGACAAACTACAAAAAAATAGGACTGGTGTGCACAAATGTACACACCGTGTTTTAATTAATATTTTGCTTTAGTTTCATAGTAAAAAATGAACAAGACGAGGTGTGTACATTTTTACACATTGTGTACGAAGGGGATAATTGAAAATAAATAGAAACTTCAATCTAACCAATAGGTCTTTGCCTAAGTTATGGGAGTCCTTTAAGTTCTACGTAAATAACTTGTAGCTATAAAGAAAGTGTCCTGTCTATTCTTCTCCTTGTGGGATTTGTTGATCAGTTTTTTGTCAAAAATAAGTTATTTTTGTTGAAACTACCTTTATAATTTCTACAATAAGTTTAAATTTTTTTAAATTGTACCTGAACGAGTTTTACAGTTCTCTCAATGTAATCATTAACTACTTCTAGATTTCTAGACAAAATGTTTAAACTCTAGATAATAATCATTCAGGTTCCATGTCTCAACTGGGGTCTTTAACCACTGCAACTCTGTTTTCCTATGGTTTAAGAGATAAAGTCAAGCTAGGAGGATTATCCTGACAAAAATCTAGATTGTTCAGCAATTTAAAATCTTGCTACCTGTGTACAACATAATTCTTAGCCCTTGGCACGAAAGCTTTAGCTTCTTGGCAATCTTGTCACAGCGGTAGGATCAATGTACCAGGTGTGTCTCTTCAGTGAGTCAATAACAGGTTTTATCTGCTCAGGTTTAACATCAGAGTACCTTATCATCTGCCAGAGAGCTTTTATATCCTAAGAAATAATCTTTAGATAGCAAAATACTAAAAAGAATAATTTTTATTTAAACTTTATTACGTTTTAAATAATAAGGAAATAAAAAATTATAGTAAAAAACCCTGAGAGGGAGCAATTGCTGGAATTTCTAGGACTAACCCTGAAGGTCCAGGTTTTTAGAGTCTATACTGCACATCTCCACATAGCACCATTACTGTTTGGCTAGCTCAAGATAATCACACCTGCATCCATTCTAATTATAAATACATATTTTTATAATAAGCATTTAATCAAATTGAATTTTTATATTGCGTTTTCATTTTTTGCAACATTTGAATGCCATAAAAAATTAAAATTCATTCTTTACATTTTCAATTTGATATCTGATACTAATCATTTGTTTATTATGCAAAGCGTCAGGAGCTATACACATTAAATAAGTTATTATTATTCTAAGCTGTGGTTTACCGGGTAATAGACTTTTATTTATTTGATAGCTGTTTAAATTACTTCAAATGACATTAAAATTAATTTATAATTTAAAGTATCAACCTTCTTCATTTTTTTTCTATCTTTCTATAATGTTTTCAGAGAACTCCAAAGCTTTCTTGAATTGGTCCTGCAACCAGTTGTCAGTAATATCCTCAATCTTCATTCTGTTTAGTTCAATAGAGTTATGATCCAAATAGTTCCAAACAAGCTTAAGCTTTTTAAAAAGAGGATTGTCTGGTCTATTTGTGTTACTGCTTGGATAGATGTTCCAAATGTCTCTTTCATTCACATATTCATATTATGTAATAGAATGGTCCAAACTGGCATTAGTGTTGGAATTGCCGAATGCCAACCCTAATTCCAAGGGCTGTATATATATACTTAAATTTCTACTGTATAAATATACTTAAATTTAATGTTTATATAAAAGTTTATACATTTTCTAAAAAATTTAAAAAAATTATTCTATGTTGTAATTGATCTGTTACATACGTACTCTTTAAGTATGATAAAATTGTAAATTATATATTTATATATATATATATATATATATATATATATATATATATATATATATATATATATATATATATATATATATATATTTTAAGTTACCTATTTATTTGTTGTTATTTTTTAAAGTTTGATAACATTTTAGGAAGTCAAAAGACAAAAGAAAAAAATCAGCATTTAAATAACTATTCTGAGAAAGAAGAAGTTTTAAATCAAACAGTGAAACAAGGTGTCTTTGACTCTTCTGGAAAGCAAGTTACAATCAAACCTTCTAAGAAGCAAGGTGTAATTAATACTTCTGCAAAGAACTCTGTAAATAACACTTCTGTGAAGCAGTGTTTAAAAAATAGTTCTGAGACAAAAAGTGTGAATAAAAATTCTGTGATACTAGGCACAGCTAATGTACCTATTAAACAAGGCGTAAACAACACTTCTGTCAATGTAAAAAATTCTTCTTTAAAAAAAGCTGTAAATAACACATCGATAAAGCAAGGAGTAAGTGCTAGTACTGTTAAACAAAATGGAGTTGACACTTTGAAGAACAGCATAAGCAAGCTTTCTATGAAAACAAATGTGATGATTAATGCATCAATTCTAAATAATAAAGATAGCAGTCAGAATAAAAATGATGTCAAAGTAAAACTAGATGGCAAAAATAAAACTGTTCAAGGTAAAACTAGTTACTTAAATTATTAAATGATTAAAATATAAATGAAATTTAAGATTTACACACACACACACCAGTGAAGAACTCAGACATGTTTTAGTACCGTTAGACAGGTATGAGCGCCCAAAAAAATTTTTTTTTAATTTTTCTTTTGCTTTTTTATGAAAAATAGAAAAAAAATTCAAGGTTTTAATGTAGTAGTATATAAATAATTTTCAGTTTATTTTTTATTCATTTTTTCTTCAAGTCAACAAAATGAGTTAAAAAGAAAATGCAAAAACTTTTTTACACAACTACATAATGTAATTTGCCTTCGATTACTAAGTGACTATCGCGCGAGTTCAATTTTTGAATGATTGAACTTTTGAGCTTGCAATTTTAATTTACGCGAGGAAAACGAAAAAACCAAGCGTTTTTCTGAAAAAACAAAACTTTTTATGAAAGTTTTTTTTCTTTCAATATTTTTTAAAATAGTAAAAATAAAGATTTCAATAACTTAAAAGTTTTATTAAAATCTGTTTAAAATAACCCACAGTAAATTTTTTTAAACTATACTAAATTATATAACAAATATTTTTTTTTAAATATATATTTTTTTAAATACAATATGCTTTTAATTCAAAAAAACATTTTATTTTTAAAATTTTGTTTATCGTAATTATCTCTTTTTTAATTATCTCTAATTTAGCCTTAAAATCACTTTTAAAATTATTAACTTTTAGTAAAAGTTAAATGAACAGGTTTGTTAATATTTAAATCAAAATTTTAAAATTAAATATTCAGTAAATAAGTTTATTAAATGCTTATGTTATTTTTGTTATTTCGAATAACTTATTAGTTGCTTAACGAATTTGTTTATTAAATGTTTATGTTTTTAATTTAAATACAAGACCTAAAACTATTTTGTTAATTTTACAAATATTACGTGATTTAATATATGTAAATATATTATTTAATGTAAATATTGATTAAAAATTGTTTAAGATATTTAAACATTTAAATTAAATTTATAAAAAGATAGTTAATAAATGTTTAAGATACTTTAAACAATTTTCAATAATTATTTGCTGATAGGGTAGTATTTGCAACAAAAACGTTATTTAAAGTCTTTAGTAAAATAGCTTTCTTAATGTATCTAAAGTAACATCAGCCTCCAGTAAATTCATGTATTCAAAAAAATAACTATTAAAAATTATAGTTGCGGCACCCGTTTAACTAGGAGAGAAGGAAGGGGGGGAGCAGGAAGAAGAGAAGGGGTCTCAAAAACACGGAAAGGAGGGGTACCTCCTTAATGTTGCCGGAAAAAAACGGTATCCCGAAATATACTCTGGGTTATTCACTGCACACACACACACACTCACACACACACATATATATATATATGTATATATATATATATATATATATATATATATATTATATATATATATATATATATATATATATATATATATATATATATATATATATATATATATATATATATATATATATATATATATATATATACATATATACATATATATAAATAAAAAATATACTAATAAATATACAGTTACTTCTATAAAAATATAGTTTTATTTTTGTTTTATATTAATTACTAATATTACAATAATTACTAACATTATTATTATTATTTTTTTTGTTACTTCACCTCCTCAAGGCCGAGAAGGCCGCTACAGATGAGGAAGCTACTTATTTGTGGTTATATAACCCTCTCTCAACTCTATAACTCCAAAACACGAACCTTGATGAACAAGGCTGCTGCGCGGAGAAACGAGTTGAGCATGGTACTACCAGGGACATGGTGGGATTGAACTTGGAACCTCTCGTTTATGAAGCGAGCGCTCTACTACTACACCACTACCACAATATCACAGTATATAAATAGTTTAAAATAATAAATTTTGTTAAAAAAGAAAAGTTTTTTTTTTTTATACTTGTGTCATGCACATCACCACATCGCTTATTTACTTTACTTTCTAAGTCTATTATTTAGAATCAAGGTATTTGTGTTTGAAATGAACTTTCCTAATTAAACATTTTCTCATTTTTTTTAAAAATATTTCAAATTTTTCTAAATTTTATTTTAAGACTTTCATAAATATTTTTAAAAAGATTAGCTCTATTGATTCAATATTATCAATGATTGGATGAACTGGACAATTATCAACTAATAAAATAATTTTTAGTCCTTCCTTCATAAATTGCCGCTCAATTTCACGAACCTATTCCTCGAGTTATCTGATGTGCCGTCCATCCAACTTTTCTTTTGACTGCGATATGGCAGGGCAAATGCTTTACATTTTCAAAGCATCTAGACAATTTAGCTTTGTCAATAACAAACATTGGCAATTTTTTCCCTAATGCATTAGAAGATGCAAATCCTGTAAGACATAGTTTGCTGTGTTTCTCACCGACACATTTTTCACTTTTAAAGTGTAAAGATTTATTTGGTTGGAGTCGATAAAACAAATCAAGTTTGTCAGCATTATAAATTTGG